CAGCAGGAAAAAGGAAGAAAGTGACATAATTTGTTAAGGTTTATAATAAGCTCCTGGCAAGATTGCTCTCTAGGGACTAAGAAAATAACATCATCACAAGTACGAGGAAAACTACTGCCACAGTTCAAAAACTGGGTAAGAGAATTAAGAACAGGCAAAATACTGTGTCAAGGCTAATGATTTCACCTGAAATGGTAGAGAGGAATTAGAGAGGCATTCCAGTATGAGCAAGAAGAGAGATTGGAGAGACAGAGAACAACTCTCACGGTAATGGAAATAAGAAGTGAGGCCTCTGGTTAGAGATGGTGATCTGAAACTTCTGTTCTCTTGTTCCATATTAAAAGTGGAGGAGGAGATAGTCAATCAAATCAGCAACATAAAATTTTAAAAAGAAACTGTAGGAAGCACAAAGAGAATATAGAAACTGTTTGCTGCCCTAGGATGCCTGATGAAATCGAGGATTTAGCACAGTTTAAAGAAACGTTATATACCTTTGCACAGATAATAGCCCTATTCAGAGTTGCAGGTTACCTGAAAACTCTGGTTGCATTTTAAATCTTTCTGTTCATAGTATTAGTCCCAAACTATGTACACACACAAACAACAACAACAAAAGAAGACAAACAAACCCCCCAAAACCCCATCCAAATACCCAAACCACACAAATGGTTAGAAAGGGGACAGACTGCTCAGTATATACTAAATGAAGACATTTTTTTTGCACATTTTCCTGATGCATGTGATAGTGATCACTGATCAGAGTCAGATTACCAGTCTGTCTTGGCCAATATGGCATTACTTGTAGACCACTGAAGTCAGAATGCCATAGAGGCTGGTGGAGAGACTTAATATCTGCCACATGTCATGTCTGGGGATAATGTGTCACTGAATGAGCTACTGGTCTGAAACTTATTCCTTGCAGGCAGGCATCTGTGTTGCATAAGTCACACCGTAATGAGATTCCTACCCAGAAATCAAGGGCAAAATGACATGGTGTCTGAACTCATTCTCAAATTAAATAATGGAACTTGAATAATCTAAAACTAGTATTTATGAATATAATTATTCCAAAATGTTAACTATAAATTTTTTTTGAGTTTTTTAAACTCAAAGACACATACAAAAATATATCTTTTAGCTGGCAAGATTATGGTCGTCTTCACAGGTACACTGATACTTAAATGCACAAACTTATAAAACATGAGCAAAAGTACTCTTTGCTGCAAGCTTTTTGGATGGGTTTTTATGTGTGTGTTCCTTATCCTATGGCCGGCGCTTTTAGGTGCTGCTTTGTTATAAATAGGAACTCTCCTATTCATCATTTTCTATCTTTCTAATTTAAGAATTTATTATGTAGCCAGGGAACAAAAATCAATAACACCTGACCTGAATGAACCAGATATTATGCACAGTAAATAGCTGAAGTGAGCATTTTTATATAACTTGAAGATTTAACTTTGAAAATAAGTTTTAAAATGTTCATCCAAACCAGTCATGATTACTTATGAATAATGGATGCATCTGAAGAAAACAGGCCTGGTTTCAAAGCAATTTTCCATAGAAGAAAGATCATAAAATCAGTTAGATAATGCACTTATACTACAGAAATGTGTCCAGCTCTCCTCTCAACCATAAAAGTTGTCTGTACCGAACTCAGCTGAGTCACTGAGCGGGATGGTGCAGTCTCGTGATGCCACTGTGTCGCACTTACTCTATCACACACAACAACCATCAATTCAGCACCTTTCAGGAACACTAAATGAACTCAAAAAAGAAGGAACGTTGCCTTCTCCAGGCCCTCCTCCTCAAGTGTTTGGTCTACAGAAGTTCTCTCTGCAAGTTTTACATTTATGAATAGCAGCTCATTCTTGCCAAGGTCTCTGTCCTACTTTCACCACTGCTTCAGCTTCTGGCCATCAAATATATGCCACAAAACAGGAGAGATTCACCACACAAGAAACAATTCTACAGAATTTAAAATCTTAAATGTTGCCTCTTGAATTGTCATCTTATATTTCTATAGTCAAAAAACCAAGAAAGCTGGCTAAAAACTTGTATGCTTCATAAACACTGGCAGAATAGAAAGCCAGATAAGTTCTCCATTTACCAGTTAAGTCTAACAAAAAAATTATCAAATAAACCTGTAGACATTGATGGATTTTAGAAATAGATTTCTCTGAGGTGCTGTGAAATGCTGACAGAACCATAAATGTTCACAAGCGAAACATAATCTCTTGGAAGACTATAAACATGTAATGTGACTGCTTTCAGCAGAATTACAGATTTGACAAAAATCACCCTGCTAAATAAATACTTACCATAGTCGTTATCATAAAAAATAATGAATTTCTGCCAAGCATATTCTGTGACCACCCTCAAGATGACATCATTCAGGTAGACAGGGGGGCGGACGGAGAGCGTGTAGTCATCATTGCGGTTGCTCCTGGTGAGCCCGCAGCCACTCCTTGGCGTTCCTGCTGTTGAGCGCTGGATGAAGAGGTGCGGGATGTGCATGGCATCTGCCAGAGACTGCAGGGATCCTGCTGATGTGCAGCCAATGGAGCTGACAAGGGCCAGGATCCCTTGGTTCATCAGGTCACAGGCTGTAAGAAAACACAGCAATATTCAAGATGAGAGCGATTCAGTGCATAGGGCCTATTTCGCTGTTGAAACACAGACACTAGGAACTGAAACATAACAGGTTCAATCAAGTGAAATATGGATAAAATTTTGGACATTGAGTAATTCAGACCTAAAATTCATGAAAATCATGAGGTTTCTCTATTCACTTTCTATTGTCTTGTGGTGCAAGCTGGAAGACTGCCCTATCCACCTGGCCCAGAAATGAATTATCCCTTGAAAATGAGACACCCCCGGGGCCTTCTGAGGAACAGTAAGAACTGATTCCAGCTACGAATTAACATGACCACCCAAGGAGATAAGCACTTTTCAAAGTCTAGCACAACAGCTCCATGAATAGGTTCTTTGCGTTATACAGAGAAAACTTGAAGAAATAACAGCTCAGGCTTGCTGTCAACTTTTGAAGACAACTGACCATAATTACGTACATTAACTTGTCCAAGTAAAAACTGACTTGCTTTGGGGTTTTAAGAGATATATGAAATAATCTTATGTAATTTAGTCTTTTTCTTCCCCCCTCCCCCCCCCAAAAAGCTAGTCTTATAAATAGCAAAATGTTTTCAAAATTCAGTGAACAGTTTATATACATTGACTCTCCTCGCTTCCATAAGAAAGGCACAGAGTTGTATATGAAAAAAATAACACCTTGTATCTGATGGTTCTGTTAATAAGGGATGAGCTACAGCAGACAGTCTGATGTACAATACCAATGACATCCACATTAATACCAAAGGTGTTTATCATGATTAACGTTAATGCGACCAATAAATATCAAAAGAATTAATAACGATTAGGTCTGTAATTTTGAAGGATTACCCTGTGAAATAAAGAAGAGTCGTGTTTATACTGGGTTTCTAACAGACTTGAGAGCCTGAATGAACTAAAAACACGGGCTTGTAGCATAATTCCCCAGAGCACACCCAAGGCTAAATTTTGAAATACTCAGTTTGCCCCTGGCAAAGCTACACGAGCAGTTAATCTGCATTTACACATGTAAATTAGGTAATGGGACAGTAAAGGGTAATATGTATTTACATATGCATATCTAATACGAAACTGTGCAATTACTTATTTTGCAGGAATGTTTTGCACACGACAGGTGCAGCCAAAACCAAGAAACCCACATGTGAGAATATATTCCCCTAAAAATACGAAAACATATTTTAGTGCCAGACCTGTTGTCTCATATCATATGGCTCTTACTCACAGTGAGTAATGTTTTACCCCACAAACACTTATTGATCTCAATGGGCATATTTACAGTGTGACAGATGGGGTTCTGCATTCAGGCCCATATGGAACTTGACTTCATAGCCAAAGGACAGCACTGGAGGTCATGAATGCAGGGAAAGCCAGTGCATTATTCTTATTAAGATACAGAGATCTGGAACATGGCACAGTGGATTCCCAGGGTGTACTGATGCCACTGAGGCTCTGTCCAATGGGAACACTTTTGAATTCCTTCATGCAGATAAATATGGGAGGGCAAGTGCTCCCACCGAGAGGTTTCAAAGTGTTTCGGCTTAGGATAAAGTGTTCCCTCTGTATATGCTCTGACTATATCTCAGCATTTGGGCCAGCTTCTGGATTTCATGTTAAAGGTAATACATTTTCAACAACCGCAAGTATCCTTTTTCAGAAAAGTACCGAATATCATTGGTAATTGGACAAAAAATATATCAGTATCTCACAAGTTTCTAACATTCAGAATGTTTAAAAACAATCTTATTAGCTATTCATCTTTTATGTTGCTTGTTTACATTCTTCATCATCACTTTCAACAAAGATAAAAGGCTTGTCAAGTTATCTTTTTAGGGAGGTGCCGAATCTCTTTCTGATTTGGTTCTCCTGCACCAAGTACTGCAATATCTCGGTTGCATACCCCAGTGAGAATGCTGCTACTTGAGAAACAAACTATTTTTATTGATATGTTGATCTGTCGATCAATAAATACCTGTAGTTATCTATATGTCAATAGGCATCCTTATAGCTAGATATCAATAGACGAATAAAACTGAAGTTAGATTTTGCAAAGGCCTCCTTTTAATTCAAGGAAAATTTAAGTCTACATTGTCCTGACGCCGCCTGCTTGAATGAAATATGTAGTGTGACCCTCTAGTCTCTCAAACATGACTTTGAAAAAGATGGTAGAGTCAGACTGCATCAAAAAAATTGCTTGAAAATGTCTAAATTTCCAGGCACACCTTCAGTGTGAGAAAAACCAGTACACTCCCTGTAATGCTATGAAGTGGGAAACATGCTTTTTGTGAAAATTGTTATTGAAACATGAAGGGGAAGAAAACAGCACGGAACATTTAGCTCCACAGGGCCGAATGCTAATACTGGCAAACAAACTGAATAAAGGATTAAAATTATCTCTCCTGACACTGCACCACGTTTGTTACAATAGCCTCAGGACTGAAGCTGCCTGTGTGGCTTTTTCTTCCATGATATGCTTATTAGAATCGTGTATGCTGGATTGGGGCAATATGCACTTAATTATGCTCGCAAATGGACCTTATTCCTGTACACTTAGAGACTACTTAATACACAGAGAAGTAGCTGCTGGAGAAAGGGCTGTTATCTCAGAGGCAGCTTTTCCAGAAGATGAGTGCATGAGTTGCAGAGTTCGCCTCTGAGTCAGTCTAACTGGATTATTCTTTGAATAGAAATATAATTTCTACAATATATACACATACAAAGTAAAGCCTATGCAATATGTCAAACTATCATGTGTGATATTCACATGTTCCTTGGCCAAGCAGAACTTTTGTTGGCTCCAGTGGAAGAGCTGATTGGTAAAAAGGATAAGACTGAGGTTTACTTGTTTTCTTAACCCTTTTTTCCCCTCACAAACAAAAGCTCTATTAAATCCTTTTCCTAGTGATCCAAATGTTTCAGCTGTATCTTATCAATTGACTAAAAGCTCCGGTTCAAACATATTTGAAATCTTGGTTGCATTCCTTTTTGAGCCTGAAATATCCAAGTTATATTTTGGCTCACGTGTGTTAAAAAATCCACACGCTCACATATATATATAT